TTTATGTTCAGATATATCCTCTATTGATGATCTTATTGATATTTATGTTCAGATATATCCTCTATTAATGATCTTATTGGTATTTATGTTCAGATGTATCCTCTATTAATGATCTTATTTATATTTATGTTCAGATGTATCCTCTATTAATGATCTTATTGGTATTTATGTTCAGATGTATCCTCTATTAATGATCTTATTGATATTTATGTTCAGATATATCCTCTATTAATGATCTTATTGGTCTTAATGTTTAGATATATCCTCTATTAATGATCTTATTGGTATTTATGTTAAGATGTATCCTCTATTAATGATCTTATTATTATTTATGTTCAGATATATCCTCTATTGATGATCTGTTTGGTCTGTATTATCTGGGAGATAAGTATGAGCTGCGTGGAGCCAGGAACCTGATCAAGGAAGTTGTCTCTAGCTTCAAGATCAACCAGGAGAACTGGATTCATGTACTCAAGGAAATCAAGAAGTACGAGAATACTTTCCTATTTGAAGATCTCTGTAATATACTTCAGGATCAAGTTCAAGGTATTGGGATTCATTCAATTATATAATTTACAGAGTCTAAAACTAAAGAATGCGCGAAGTTTAAGTTTAAGTTTAAAAGTTCTAAAAATTAATGAGTTGCTACTTAAATATTAAACTTTCTCAATTTAACCTTGAATGGAAATTTGAATTTCCCGGTAAAAATCTCACCCAATCAGAGAAAAGGATTTACGGAGAATATTACGTAACTATCCCTAATCAGCTGTTATAGTTAATTTTAAAATTTTTACGTAACCGAAAAATAAACATATTTACAGTTACAACCAATTTTTTGGGTTTACATGCAAAAATTAATTTATCTAAAACTGTGAAATTTCTAACACAAGGTTTTCACTTTTAAATATATCGTTAAGTTGAATGCCGCTTTTCAGCTGAATGATGATTGAATAATAGACAAATAGGGAAAATGCAGAATTTCAAGATTTTAAACCTGTGTTTAAATTTTAACTCGTTTTTCAGCTGAATGATGATTGAATAATAGACAAATAGGGAAAATGCAGAATTTCAAGATTTTAACCCTGGGTTTAAATTTTAACTCGTCGATTTTGGCGAGTTAAATATTTAACCACAGGGTTAAGTATTTAACCACAAGGTTAAAGTTTAAATTAAGTCAGAACTCAGAAATTTAACCATGAACTTAAAATGTAAGTCAAAACTTTTTGTTCTTTAGTTTTAGACTCTGGACAGTTACAGTTGATTTTTATTAATATGGTAGAGGAATATTTTTGCCAGGGTATATTTTTTGTTCACAAAATGACACTTTTGCACAATTGAGCTTGGAACTACTAGTTGAACCTGGTTCAAATAAATCAATTATGAATTTATGTTATCTTTTTGTTTAGGCTATTTGAAGGGCTGTCCCTCTTCTGATGAATACCTGGATGATATTCAAGAATCTGATGATTATTAAAGGGAGTGACCGGCTATGTAAGGTAGTTGAACTGAGGACGCAGTGTTGCGGAAAACCTCTTAAGGATTCATTTGAGACATATTAAACTTTTTTAAGATCTGTAAATCCTGAGTTTGAGTGCAAATTCGAAGTTCAAAACTCCTGATTTGGGGGTGGATACGCTTTCAGAATTAGTTTTTTTTAAATTATTAATTAACGACGACATAAAATGTAACCTCTATTAGTTGTTAAACGAAAAACCGACCAATGACTGAGGCCAGAATATTCAACTCCGGTGAACTTGTTCCGAAATCCAAGTTCAGGGGTTGAGTGGCTCCAGATGGGATGAGCAAGTGGACTTTCTGGGAGGGAGGACCGGCCCTGGGAGAATTCTACGAGTATGTATGTCTGTGCTATCCGCCTTGTTTCTAACTACGGGCGGATACTCAGTCTGGTCTGAGAAGCTGAGAGTATCTGCCTTGTTTCTAACTACGGGCAGTTCGTCTGTTTTATCCGCCTTGTTTCTAACTACGGGCGGATACTCAGTCTGGTCTGTGATGCTGAGAGTATCTGCCTTGTTTCTTACTACGGGCAGTTTTGTCTGTGCTATCCGCCTTGTTTCTAACTACGGGCGGATACTCAGTCTGGTCTGAGATGCTGAGAGTATCTGCCTTGTTTCTAACTACGGGCAGTTCGTCTGTTTTATCCGCCTTGTTTCTAACTACGGGCGGATACTCAGTCTGGTCAGAGCTGTGGAGAGTTCAAGAGATCTGCCGGGTTTCTGTCTATGATCACCTGCTATCTACCCTGCTTCCAGCCTTTTGTTTAATTTTTGTGATGCTATGTTCCTTTTTTGTTATTATTTTTGTTGTTTTGATGTTTACTTTAGGTGTGGCGGGAGGAGATTATTGATCTTGTGACGAGGATGTGTACTCCTTTTTTCTTTTTTTTGTTTAATTTTGTTTATTTTTGTCTCTACCCCTTAAAGGGTACAACACTGCAGTTGTTAACCCTCCTAACCTCTGTGTCTATAAACTCATAGAGGACACTGGAAGGGCACCTCAAGGTCAACAACACTGCAGTTGCTGGCCCTAATGAGTAGTTCTGAGCACTTATTCATGAATTGTATGGTTAATAGTGGTTTACTTTGAATAAATGGATGTTGAATTTATTGAATTAAAATTCTTATTTTCAAGTTTTATTCTTACTTTGTGAATGCTAAGGCCGGTCAGGCAACTAAGTTTCTTTTTGAGTTACTTAGTGTGTGCTAACGATGGACAGGCACGGAATTATGTCTTACTAATCCATTTACTAATTTCCTAAATGTAGTTAATGATAATTCTCGACTCGACTACAATGATTTAATCAACTAAGTTTCCTTTTAAGTTACTTAGTGTGCGCTAACGATGGACAGGCACGGAATCATGTCTTACTAAACTATTTACTAACTTCCTAAATGTAATTAATGATAATTCTCGACCTGACTACAATGATTTAATCAACCCAATTTGTGGAAAGGTACTGAGTTTTTATGAAAGGGGAGGTCAGTCTTGGATACAGCCAATGTGCAGTTAACATCATTATAAAAGATCATAAATCAAATGTAGCTGGATATACGGGTAATACTGCACAGCAGTTACGTGGGGTCGGATGATAATGCATCTACGGCTCTTAATCAAGGCAGCACGGGTTAGGCTGCAACAGGATGCAGGTCGGCTCGTGGGTCGGTTGACAATGCACCTGCGGCCCCTAAGCTAATTCCCAGGCTAATCCCGGGCAGGATTTGACAGCTAAAGTAACATGAGATTCGGTCGACCCTTTATTTCATAAATGAGAACAGTTACCGACGACCCATAAGGGGGTAGTATTGGATGGGGACAATGCGCCGGCAACACTTTTTAAAAGTCTATTGTTCCAAAGATTATAAATCAAATGAACCTGGATATACGGGTATCATTGTGCCGCAGCGACATAGGGTCGGATGATAATGCATCTGCGGCACTACAGGATGCAAGCCGGCACGTGGGTCGGATGATAATGCTCCTGCGGCCCCTAATTTAACACAGGCTATTTTCGAGCTTAAGTTATGACTTCTAGTGTACCATGAGAATCGATCAAATTTTTAACCCAAAAACGAGACCACTTAGATCCATGCTATCTGGTGCATAGGTCTGATGATTTCCCTCTGCGTCTGCGCTAATAGGTTTTCCAAACCAAACCCTTTTAGTGTTTGATGAGTGTACGTCCAACAAGCCGGAAACCTGAGTTAGGGGAGTTTTCCAAAATTAAGTTTACCTTCAAAGTGAAAATGCAGTGTAAATTCAGTGTGTGCTCAGCCATCCTTATAATCAAGTACTATGGCTTATTACATCGTCCTAAGAAAGGACCAGGTCCCTCTCCAGACCTACTGGATGAAAAAGACCTCTGGCAGCCATGATACTCTCCAAGGACATTGTCATGAATTCAGATATGACTTTTTCGGCGGTGAGCACCATCATCCCAGGCAGCTTTTTCGGTCGTAGCCAGCCAGTCATTTATCACGTTAAAACCTTTAAACCAGGAGCTAGAAATCCCGTCCAAACTAGTCAACTAATTGTCTGAGCTAATTTAGCAATTTGTTTCACAATTTATCAGTACATGCAGATTCTCAGAGTTTATTCTGCTTATTGCTATGTACAGTTTTTCTGAGTTAATTTTGCCCTGCAAATTACTATCTTGTACAGAGTTTTCAAGTTAATCCTGCAGTTTCAACGACAGGTTTGCAATTTTTCACTGTGAACAGATTTTCTGGGCTAATTTTGCAACGATTATTGCTAATTACTATGGGCAGAGTTTCTAAATTAATCCTGCTTTTTCAATGACAGGTGTGCAACTTTTCACTGTGTACAGATCTTTGTATTGCAACTTATTATCATGTTCAGAGTTTCTAAGTTAATTCTGCTTGTATGACGACAGGTGGCAATTTTTCACTATGTACAGATTTTCCGTGTTAATTTTACAGAGTTTATTCTGCTTATTGCTATGTACAGATTTTCTAAGTTAATTTTGCCCTGCAAATTACAATCACGTTCAGAGTTTTTAAGTTAATCCTGCTTTTTTGACGACAGGTGTGTTTTTTTTTACTGTGTACAGATTTTCTGTGTTAATTCTGCAAATTTGTTTTGCAAATTACTATCATGTTCAGAGTTTCTAAGTTAATTCTGCTTGCTTGACGACAGGTGTGCAATTTTTCACTGTGTACAGATTTTCTGTGTTAATTTTGCAAATTTGTATTGGGTTTTTATTGGTTTACCCAGCCACCAAATGTACCCTATGTATTTATATTTATGCTCAACTCTGTCTCTCAGAGGTTTTATATGCTTTAATAATATTTTAATGGCTTATTTAGCACCGTATTTAATAAACCTATTTATGTTTCTCTGTGTCTTCTTTGTTGTAGATAAAAAAAAATTAAATGAGATCAGCCTGCTATGGTTGGTCCTTCGAATATGAACGGGTTACCTTAATGTAACCAAATTTTTGTACACCAATCATTCAGTCAGTCCCAATCAATTAATGTGTCATCTATTTCGCTACCACTAAGCAGAGCATAACAAAGGTTATGGGTGCTACTGCTCATGGTCTTCAGGGCTTTTTTCCAATTATAAGGTCTTTTGTCCTTTCTAGTGTACAACATTATGGATGGGTATTGGTTTGGTAAGACAAAACTCATGTTGGAAATGAAAAATTGTATTAGGCAAACTCATGTACTATGCTCACTCATTGGGGTTCTATGCCTCTTCCAGGGTGCTTCATCTTGATATTCTTTCAGAGTACTATGCTAAGCCTCTCTTAGCCTACTTAACGTCAGGAGTGCCTAAGGATAAGCAATGAGCAAGAAAAGGAGTCGGAATAGGATTGCCCGGGAAAATAGGCGGATTAGGCGTATTAGGCAAAATAGGCAGCATAACCCGGTGCCTCAACCATTGGTTGGTGGTGGGGATTACTTAAACTTGGTCGCTTGGAATTGCAATGGCCTGCTGCGTTCTGATAAGATCGACCAAGTTGCTGAAGCCTTCGAGAAGCATAAATTAGACCTAATTTTCCTAACTGAGACCCACATCAGGGCAGTGGCAGTTGAAGATTTGTCATCCTTCAGGGGATGTGAATTGTACGCCAAGAACCGGTCGGGATATGAGAAACGAGGTGGGGGCCAGTTAATTCTTGTGCGGTCCAGTATCAATCACATGCGGCATGTTCCAGGGCTGGTTATGTTCCCATACCTAGATGCTGAAAGGGACTGGGTGTTGGTGCACGAGGGAGGTCGTGACCTGGCCATCTGCTCAGTTTACTTGGCAGCAGATGTGGGGGGGACTGAGCATATAGTCTGGAATGCAGACTTGATCAACATGATTCAAGCTGAAATGGTCGCCCTCACTGAGCAAGGGTACGCTTGCCTCCTAGTTGGTGACTTTAATGGCCACATTGGGTGTGATGATCAGGGAGTGGTAGGGAACAATCCTGACATTAATTATAATGGTAGATTAATAAGGGAGTTTGTGTATAACAACGACCTCATCATTGTCAATGCAGACAAGGACAGGTGCTCTGGCACCTTTACCAGGGTGGTTTCAAAATCGGTTTCCCTTCTAGATCTGGCCATCGAGGGGAGAGGCCCATCAGTGTTGGTACACTCCATGGTGGTCGACGAGCTTAACCAATTCTTGACAGGAAGCGACCATTCCCCTCTTATTGTTACCCTCAATGTTGGAGCAGAAGGGGATGACGCCCCTGTTGCACAGGAGATCCGGGTGCCTAACCCCTCGAACCTCAACAAGGATCTATTTCAGTTCAAATTCATGACCTTGTGTGAGAAGATTGACTGGGGTGGCCTGGATGTCTCACAGAATTGTGAGGCTCTCCAAAAAACCTTGGTTCTTGCAGCTGACCAAGCTGGGGTACCTGCTCCGACAATCAAAAGGTCATCAGTAGCAACTAAAGCACTAGGTAGGGCAAGGGCCCGCTGCATGCGGGC